CTCGATATGGATCTAATTGGCCCAGTAGGCACACACATTTGGTACACCCAGCGAACACACAGCACCTAGTAGGCCCAACGGATCCACAACGTCTAGTAGGACCAGTAAATACACACGTCTCGTACATCCAGCGTATACACAACATTTAGTAGAAGGTCCAGCAGACCAAGTGCCTAATACATGTTATCGAGGCTTCGATCTGCCTGCTACTAGTATGGAATTATCCTGGATCAATCTCTTTGGTCAAGTCTTGAGCACCGTGAGAAATTGTTTGCCAATCGTTACCATCGTCGATTGTTCAAGACCCGCCCTCGCGCGGATACATTAGCGAACTCGAGCTAGCGAGATTGGGTTTTGGAAAATGTCTTCCGTTTCATCGGGAGACTTGAGAAACTCATCGAAGCGGAGTTGAGAAAATAATCGCTTCGTTAGGAAGTGGAATTGTAGGGAAGATTGTTTGAGATTGGAAATCTACTTCGAACTGGAATCATGCAAAAGTTTGAAACAATGATAGCTTGTTAAGACTTTTGTGCTCGGGGTAGCCTGCTTAACTTTAGTACCTTAAATACGTCTGTTGCTTTTCGCGATGATATCCAGCGAAGGGCTTATTTTCTGAGTCCCCGTGATAGATACGTGTAGTTAATCTAGCCTTGGAAGTGTCAGACGGATAAAAGATAAGTGACGACACGATTGCACGTTTCTATGGAGATGTGCCATACCCAGGGATAAACTTGTGAATTGGTCGCCGGATTCCTCCACTGGATCGTGTCAGGCATGACTGCTATTTGTATAGTATGACAGCTTTCCCACTTTTTCAAGAGGCACGAAGCATCTCGTCAGAAAATGCCATCTACGAAAGGCAAAATCATGCTCATATTCAGGACTTCTTCGCGGCATGCCAAGAATTCTTTAGAAATCGATCGAAATCGGTGATCAAAGCGTCGCTATTCCAAGATTGCGTTTGTCGGTGAAGGAATTCGAAGAAACGAGGAACAGAGAAGTGGAAGTAGAGAAAAGAGTATAGTGGGGGAGCCACAAACGGGTACGGGTACTTTTCAGTGGCCTTGAGTGGTCAATTGGTTTCCTGCCAAGAATCGTGATGAAACCTCACCAAACCGTTCCTTGTTTGCGTTCGTCATCCACGGGAGTCGCATTACGCGAATAGCGAGACGATTTCCACCGATGGAGAATTAACGAGAGACCAGCGACCGAAGAGTGCCCGCGCGGCCCGTATATTTTGGCGCGGCAGCGTTCGCGCGCTGGATATTCTAATGGGCGGCGGTCGAGGCGTGTCACGAGCACATTTAGCCGAATGGGTTAAAACTGCGGTTGTTTGCGGTGCACTTCAATCGAATTGGTCGCCGTTTGCATAATCTCCGTCCGCCTTCGTGTGCACGTCAGCGTTCGGCTCGCATTCGCGCAGCTTCTTCCACGTTTCTCGGCGAACTTTTTCCCTCGTCACTCTATTCCCTCTCCGGCGCTTTGCCCGCCCTCTCCGTTCCGCTCAAACGCGCCGCCGATGAAAACGATTCGCGGGGCCTCCACCTCTCCTTCGCCAGAACTGTTTACGAGCAGATGCGTCCTGATTTATTCCAGCCCCTCGGCCAAGGTACCATCGATTCCTCGATCGTTTCCGTTCACCGTATATCCCGGATGCCAGGTAGGTACCGGGATAAGGAATTCTTTGCCTCTGTGAGCCGGTTAATCGCCCTAGGGCGCTACGTATCCTCCCAGCATTGAAAGCAGCAGCTGGAACTGCTTCTAATATATTAGCTATTTCACTCGCGAAGTGTACCGGAGAGCTGGAAGGATGAACGTCAGATAGATAGATGCCGTATCTGTAAGCAACCACCACGCGAAGATTGGCCCTCAGATTTTTAACGACAGTTCGTTGTTAGGGTAACAGAGGTTCGGCGAGACAAATGAGACCTGGATCCTTGTGTAGGTACTTCCAGCAGATACCCTCGAAGCTATCGGTGAACAGAACCCGAACTGCTAATAGAAAGTTAGTAGAACCGCCATTAGGTGGAAGACACTAGTCTACTCGAAGCCCCCAGGGAATATCGTGGGAGTTTTGGTTAAGGAATAGTGTCGCATAGATGGCAGCAAAAGTTCGGTGACATACTTCGAGATAGTGTGCAACATTTCAGATTTCGCAACTGCGAGTACTACGAGTCCCGTGGGGAATTTTCTCCCGGATCGATGAATCAATCGATATATTTATCGGACCAGCTGGCGAGTAAAGTCAACTAATGGATCAGCTACGCCCACAACCGCCGATCTAACGAGACGATTAATTGTTTAAACTTTCAATGAACGTAAGCGATGCTGAGTCACTCTTCAGCGTCAAGACAACGAGACCTAGCGGAAAATATCGAGCTCCCCGAACCTTTACGGCTCGGGATCTTGCAACGTTTCGTTTCCTGGTCTAGGAGGAGCTGAAACGCCAGCTAAGGGATTCACCTTTCTCCAAAAAGAGGAATCCAAGGCGGTCAGGATTTTTCCCCGAGTCGCGGAGATTGCACACTTTCGTACGATGCGGGATAGCAAGGTGAACTTTGACGTCGCGACGTGTAACTTTACTTGACGCCATTTTAATTGGACACTTCCCTTCGTGTGAGCGCAACGGCGTCTGCGTTTGTTTGCGCTTGAAACGACGCCTATACTTTTATAGCGCGATTTTCTTTCGCAATTAAGCCGGTAATTATTTCAATAATGGGTTTTGAAATTTACTCGTCAACTGCAACGTTCTCCTACTACCCCCTCCCCTCTCCCCGCTTGGCCCCACTCCCGCGAGTGAGATATTAAATTCTCTGCCGTAAATTGATTTCGTTCGTCCATTCGAGTACAATTTGATGCGCCCCCAGGCGTTCTCTGGTGACGCGTTTCGTAAATTCTATTCGTAGCGCTTCGTTCCTCACTGACGTCGCAACGCAGTTGTTCGCCTTTGCGAAACGTTGATTTTTAGTTCCATGGCGATAACTATGCCTCGACCGTGGGTGAGAAACCACCCCTTGAACCTCTGATGTTTACACTATAACGTTAAATATTCATTACTAATATTATAATATTAAATATTGGATGTTAAATATGAAATGCTAATACTCTACTACCGAGTTTTGAATATTAAATATTAACTGCTAACGCGATGAAACTGAATATTATTCAGCGTGAAACTTGGTTTTTTTTTAAAGATGTTTCACGTTCTCCCTGTTTAAAGAGAAAATTCGCAGGGTCTTGAACCGAGCAGAGGCCCGTGGCTCTGTCTGTTTCAATCAATTTGCACACCTTCCCAGTCACTCGAAGCGGTGCGACTTTACTGCCCGCCTTCGGAGGCAACGATTTCGAATCCCGTTGTCTCTTGGGACTTATTTTTTCGCTCGTGAAATAAACATTGTCCGGTCGGAAGTTTAAATTGGTTTATTCGGTGTCGCTCCAGACCACGTTCCGCCGCGCGGAGAATAAATCAGGATTGTCGGTGAAATCGGGTAAAATTTTATTAAAAATTTGCCTCGTTGAAATATTCATTACATGCGATTTCAATTACCCTGCCCCCTACCGTCCCAACCCGCAGAGAACAACGCGAATCGGTTGTGTTTGCATTCATATTCATCGACGAACGAGAACGGGGATCGTGGTTCTCCTGGCGCGTCATTAAATCGTTAAAAACATCGATTACTTCCCACGCGATTGTTGCTGGTGGATACTTTTAACTCGCTAGTTCTCTAACCGTTTTCTCTATATATTTAATTTTAATTGTTAAACAAGTTTTGTGTGCGGGCGAGTTTAGGGAAAAAGAATTGGGGAAGATCGATGTATTCCATTTCTATCAGGTTTTAAACCGTCGTGTCGACTGTATGTTTTTTGAATTTGACGATTCGTATTTTTATTGTCTTCGTTCTAAAATTTTTATTAAAAGCATCTTCCAACATCTCTCCAGTAGGGATCAGTAGGGATTCCCCGTAGCCATTCATAAGCACATTCCTCGTTTTGACGCACGGGAATTCGCAATCATATCGTTCAGAACACCCTGTAGAGGGACAAGGGTCGAAATGAAAAAACCGTGTCCCCAAGGCCGGTCTGCCCCAATGACCTTTCCCTCTCGAGCATGTTCTCTAATGACTTTTGCTGGCCTCCAGCATCCCCGCGGCGGTGCTTCTAAAAAGTGTATCTTCACGCAGCGTCAAATCTAACGAACCCGGGCATCCCATCGAAACGGATAATCCTGTCAGCGATAGGCTGGAACATTTCGAAACCCTCGGACCAACCAGCGCGCGCGAATCTAACCAAATTAACCCTCTGGGCACAAACGTCCGCTATATGAACATTCATAACCTAGCTGTCCCTCGCTACCAATCCTCAAAATTTCATGAGTCCACTGTACCGGACATTCATAACCTAGCTGTCCCTCGCCTCCAATCTCCGAACTTTCGAGGTCCATTGTGTTATTCAGTGACGCGGCACTACAACTTGTTGCCCACATATATCAGAAATTCGATATCGCATGCTGTATTTAATGGAAAAAGTTCAGATGTCAAGATATCAAATATGGTTCTCTCCACTTGGAAGGATGATTCTGTTGATTGAGTGCCACACCGAGTTACAGGAATATTCAGTTGAGAACACGGTGGAATGAAAAAACATGGAAAAACTTGGTGAAATTTTGGCAAAGAAAGAATATTTCCGGTCTTTGTATTCGATAACAGCCGAGAATTCAATTTACCCCCCGACTCTGGTGAGCGCGTACGTAAACAGGCGAAGTGCTGTTGAAAAATTCCAATTATCCCGGCTGTTCTCAGCAGACAGAGGGCGAAAGAGCGGGAGAGGAATAGAGCAAAGATTAAATCCCCCAGCACTACCGCGAAATTAGAGATTAAAGCGTTAACGAGTTTCGGCGGGTAGACGACAGTTCACGCGCGTGTACCGCGAACAAATCCTGTTCGGTCCTCACTTAGCACACCTCTTGCACTCTAACGAAGAACGAAAAACAGCATTCTCACCTGTCCTCAGCAGTGAGCAGAGCAGCAATAGCGTGAGCCACATTTTGTTTGAACACCGTCCACACCTGGAGCACGATTCCTCGATCGAAGCAGCACCCCTCGCCTGTAACCTGGATCCTCTCATCGTAGCTACCGCATTTGACGATGGGACCTCCTCTTCGTACGCACCGATCCTCCCCATACAAACACCACCGACCCACTTCACCGAAGGACCGCTAACAGAGAGCCCAGCAGTCGGAGGATCTTGGTCCCGAGTTTAAACAGAACTCTTTCGTCGGAAATGGCCTGGAGGAGTATGCCTATTTTGCATTTCTCTAGGTTAACCAAGGTTCTCCTCTCAACCCTTTGAATCCCTCGTCCAGGAACGGTTAGACAGAGTCGCTTAACGTCCGTATTCTTGCGAGAAACTTTCAGGGTCTCCTCGCCTCATTAGCCTGCCCTTTCACCGAGATCCTTCCGGGCCATCCAGCAACGAGTTTAATCAGCAAATCTGCCGATCAAACCGTCCACCCTTCATTCGTCCAGTTCCTTCGCGACTAATTAGCACGGGAAATTAATTATCTCCTGCGCGGGGGATGTCATCCGGCCTCCCCAACTATCTAGATCTTCCTTCGGAGACGTCCGATAATTCGACGTTGATTCGCCGCGTTTCCCGAACCGCTTCTTCCGCCCCGTATCCGTTCTCCAATTATCGAACCTCGAGCGGCTCTTCTGGCCACTTGGGGATCTACTTTCGATCCAGCGCGACAGACAGCACCCGTTGCTCTCTGTGCAACCAATTCGCGACACAGCCACGTGCACTTCCCCGCACGGCACGTGACGTTACTTCCGCGATACCCAGCCGTCGATCACGACACCTCTTAATCCCGAACGCGCCGCACACGCACCAGCGATCTACGGAGTCCGCGGAGAATATCCAGCGAGGGTACCTAACCGTCGAACTCACTCCGCCGCGTCGATCGTGCTCGATACGTCGATCCACGGCGGCTCGACGAACATCCCTCCGGTGTTGGCCATCGTATCACACTCGCGGGAAGGGATCTATCACAACCACTCGTCACTGGGGGATCGCGTAGCGAATAGGATTGGTATTCCCACGTTTCGAAACGTCCACGTGTCACTTTAAAGGACTCCCCGTCCCGAAATGAGCGCGGCGCCGTTACGAAAGTTTTCACGCGACGATTTTCCGCGACAGCGTCGTTGACAGCCGCCGGGAACCTTTTCCATCGAGAGTTCGTAGTTGACAGAAAGCCTTGGCGGGAGCTGCACGACGAATAAGGTGCCACTCCCACCCGCGCATGCTCCTCCACTCTGGGATCGTCGTGCCCTCTCCGTCGCTCGCGCCCTTTCTCTCCGTTCCCCATTAACGTTCGCTCGCTCTCGGCGTTATTTCTCTCCTTACCTCGCCCTTCGCGCCGTCATCGCCCCCGCCCCCCTCCCCCTCCCGCGCCTTCACCCGTCCCCTGTCGTGTGCGCGTTCCTTGCCTCGTCCGAACGCGTTTCTACCTTGTCCTGGACGCGCCTAGTCAACCGAAGGCACGTGCTCCGCGGTCTGGCTGATCCGCGGAGTAATTAACGCGAGTATCGGTTGGTAATCGGGTTCGTTCCGTCGAATCTCCAGTTTCATAATGCTGCAGAGCATGAAGCCCCTTTGGGCAGATGTGGAGGAACTGATAGGAGTTCGGGGTATCAGTTTCGGGTGTAACTGCTGAGTGGAGGGGTGGGGGAACCCAGATTCAGAATAAGCTAATTTACTGTTGTACACGATCCTACGGCTTTTTTGATCCACTAATCGACTTTTCAACTCTTGACTTTGATGGGCATCCCGCGGGCACATGGCACGGGTTCACCGCTGACGACACTGACGACTCCTGGTGATGCTCTATCGAACTCCACCTAGGATTAAACAGAAAGTACTTAACACTATTCAATTTTCTTTCATAGTATTATATTAACTTATTAACAGTAAACCTACCGACATTTATTTCTATCTGTTTCTACCGCGATCTACCGTGTACTATTTCTGAGGGTTCTTATACACCCCAAACATTACGCTACATTCCCTTTAACATGAAATTCATCCTTACAATACAATACAAGAATTATACGAGCAGTATCCACCCTTTCCTTATGGTACACTAAATCATACCGGAATTGTATGGATGTCTAAATAATGATAATATCGACTTTATTGCATCGTGTACAAACGGGCGTTGCATTGATTACCGTTACAGCACCTGTTTCTAATTCAAATGAATGGTAAGCTTAAAGCTGACAGGGAAAGATTTCCGACTTGAAAACTCGAAAAGCTTCGAAACTTGGGGAATATATTGGTGCCTAAGTTTATACGTAGGTGGCGATATGTTCTGCGAATATAAGTAAGAACAGACTGAACTAAACTGTTACTTCTAGAGCAATAATTTTTTAACTCTTTTCATCGTGAAAATTCACGGTCTCCCGTAAGCGGTATCGAATTTCTCAATTGTTATTTTAAATCCCCTGCTAACCTAGGATTCGTGCCGCGTTTCCTCGGGTATTATTTCATAGATACGATCCACTGGCACGGATACAAATTACTATCGATTGGGCCAAGGAATTAAACATACAGTCCGGACGATTAATCACGTCACGTAGGAACACGAAGTCGATAATCTGTAATAGAACATGTAACGGATACTGGCGTTGTCTAATCCGACCTATCTGGCCGCTGATCATTCGAAGAACACTGATGATTCTACCGTAACCATTTTTACATCGATGGCTAGTTCATAAATTCCCACGAACGGGTTTTTCCGTCTACCAACCGCAAATGTGCACGAGTAGTACGGCGTAATAACATACCAACGGAAAGCGATTAAAATGAAATATCCACACGGGGACGTTCAGCCTTTTAATATGTTTATTTCCGCGGGCCATGACGAGAAGCTTAAATAACGACCCGATGAAACGCCGATTTTAATTACGTCAGCACGCAACGCTGTTGATATTGTACATATCGTAGCTAGTGCCACGCCACTTCGCCATCCGGTCATCTGCGGCCACTGGACGAGGCTCCTGAAATTGAAAAATTCTCTCGTCCTGTAGTCTTTTGAAGGTAAACGACATTAGCCGTCTTTCTCTCGGAGCGGAAATTCTGAGAAGAAAAACTCGGGAGGAACTTTCAGAGTTTCGACGACGAGGTAACGGGGTTAACTCTAGGGACGCATCGTCATTTGCCGGTCGAATCCGCTAATGCATCCACTCTTTGCGTCAAGGCGAACCGTCGGGCGAGATTTATGCGGTGGCTACTTTTGTATCGAACCATTCTACGCTGCAAACAGCTGCGGAAGTGAAGAATACGTAAAGAAAATTAAGGTTTATTCAACGTATCGAGGAATAAAATAGTCTCCTCGGGTATATTTCAACTTAAAAAATCACCTTTCCATTTAAGAGGATGGCTGATGTTTTTCCTTGTCTGCGGCACCCCCGAGGGGCGAGAGTAGTGCCCTATGTATCATACAAAAGACCTCGTATATCATAGATCAGAGCAACGTGGGAACGTGCGAGAAAAGGATTCGATACGTAGCCCTCTGGTGGCGAGCGTCAGAACTGCTGTCCATGCAATTCACATAGAGAGGATGTTTAATTCATCATTAAGCAACCATTAAATAACCGCGAATAATAATTCGCAGACGCGTAGATTACAAACGTTTCCAGCTGAACACTCATTGGCTGACTGGAAATCGTGTTCCACTTAACATAGACGGAAAATGCGGTGGAATTATTAATGGGAAACGTGACGTTAACGACGTGATGAATAACGTTGATAGAGCCTGTCTATCTGAAACGGGACATTTTTACGACAGGTCAAAGGCTATTACCGATTACTCGAAAGAGGATCGTTTCCCGAGCTATCCATCTCCTTTCCCTTTGTTTTTATTCCGATCGCTATTTGCGGGACAACACGCGTACGCTCTCTGTTTTCACGGAAGCACGAAGTGCTAAAAAGAGACAAAAATACGAATGGTAAAAAGTGAGCCCCCGGTAACGTTGTTGCAAAACTTTCCTAGTATTAGTTTAAAAGGTTTCAAGTTGGCCTGCTTAACCCTTTGACTGCGGGGCGACTTTTGCTGGAAATTCTAAGGGACATAGAGATATGAGTTTAAAAAAAATATCAGCTTACAGAGAATGTCAAAAGGAAATTTTTTTTGTACGAACAGTTTATTCTTACGACGTTTAGTTTCAGAGATAAAAATTGAAAAACTTAGAAGACCTTTTTCCTGAAATTCACTTTTTGCGAACGAACTTCAAACTTTTCAATTTTTATTTTTAAAACTAAGCGTCCTATGAATAAACTGTAAATACAAAAAACATTTCTCTGAGCCCATATCTCGAGGGCGTATATATACGTCCTTCCCGATCAAAGGGTTAAGGATATTTTTGTTCTACCTCTGAAACCGTCCATTCTCGTGCATTCTCCATTCTACCGATATACATCCTTTCCGGTATATTCAATATTAGTAGAGAAAATGACGGGAAATGAAGGGAATTGTCGCGGTCTGTCGTCGATTATGTAACACGAAGGAAGCACGCGTTCAAGGTGGTGAATTAAATAAGCCCGTTCTCAGAATACGTGGCCGCACACTTGAATATCGATTAAACGTCGATTAATATTCATCGTCGGAGCGAATTGTTCACGTGGTGCGTCGGCGCCGCGTTGAATTTAAAATCAATGATTATAAATTAAGTCGTTCGATTCCGGGAGAGCCCGTGCAGTCAGGATCGATTCGACTGGGATTAAATCGATGGGAGCAGCCTCCCGCCCCTGTTTGTGAAACCAGAAACGGTATAGCCTCTACAACTTTAAGACGATCCCGGAGGACGTATCGCCAAAGTCTACGACCTGGCTATCGGATGACAGCCGACGCCCTTTAAAACGGGACTACCGAATGCAAATACAAATCATACGTGACCGCGGAGTTTTAAAAAGAAATTTGGTACCGTGTCAAGAAGAATCGCAAGATTTATCGCCGGGATTGCGTGAGAAAGAGAGGAAGATTTAAAGTCTCGTTGCAATACATTTCTGCTTGAAGCGGGACCGTATATTCCACGGAATGGACCTGCTAATGCGTTCAATTCGAATCAAAATGGCGTTAGTCTCAAAATACATTCTAAAAAATCCTCATAATTTACTGCGCCGAATGTACTCTGAGGTAAAGCATTTTACAATCGAAGCATTTTGTTATTGAAGCTTCCTAGGGGTAAAGAATTCTGCTATTGAAGCAGTTAGGTGGATGTCGTTTCTGCGAATCTTAATACTTATTTATCATTCATCAGCTCATTGATTTTCATCTTGAAAATCTGCACACTAGATGGCAAAAGGTTGTCGATAACAAGAACGATTATTTGATTTAAAATAAAAACATACAAATTTATTTGTTTGAATTTACCGCAAAAGAAACAACATTATTTTCTGGTCCCTCTAATATTTTACTACCAGAATTACTGCCGTCATCGCCGCTCTGTAATTAAGTATTCATTTTGCGAACTACTGTGCGCTCGAAAGAGTGGCAATTACTTGCCATCTCGCGTTAAAATACAGTATTACGAGCGGTATTTATTAACTATCGTTCCATGCAGGACAACAATGACCACGAGATAATTCGGATAACAATATGATAATGGCGTATATTACGTTACGTCAGCGTTATAACGTGAATCCGTGTATAGCATTCGCGGCATTAGCACTCGCCCCGCATTTTCTGGACCTATTGTTGCCCCTCGCGATCGGTGCTTCAAAGAAGCACTTTACATATCCATGCTTTTGACTCTTTAAACGCGGTACGTGCTTGTATTCCGTTCCACTTTCGTGGAAAGGAACGAAGGAAACATTTTTGAAACTATTCTATACAGGCGGGAGCTCTTTGGCTGCTAGTTGTTTTTCTTTTCGACCGAAGTGTAAACAGTACCTCGGAATTTATTTTAAGCGGGGGATGATTCGAAGCTCTTTTCTCATTGATATGGAATATATTTGAAATATATTAGTAGCTACCAGTAACATAAGTAAATTGCACTTCGCGTTAGGCTCGCTAGAGAGCGTCACGTAACAAATATGGCCACGAAAGGGCTAGATGTTTAATTTGTTGTCGAGTGAATGATTCAGATCAAACGAGGTCGTGTTTAGTTATAAATAAATTTATTTGGTTTTTAGCAAGGTGCGAAAAGTCATATAAGAGTTTTAAAAGAGCATAAAACAGATA